CAAAATATAAAGTAAACAATGGATAAATTATACATAAAATAAATATGAAAAATTACAAGCTAATGTTGTTAGAAATATAAAATAAAATGGAATTTAATTGAGTTATATGTATAAAATCGAAAATTAACGAAAAATATATATGAAAAAATTAATTATATAGAGATATTGTATAAAAATTTTCTAACAATAAGATTTTTTACCAACTTTCAAAATAACAACATTTTATCAATCACGACCGATCACTGTGTGCTATGCTTATTCAAATATATATTTCTCAATCTCCTGTCTACTTATGAAATGATCTATCAGGAAGAGATATCATTTTGATTCTAGATTTTTTCAACAGTTAACCAAAAATTGTATTAAAACATAAAAGAACAGATGTTGTTCAATTAAATTCATAAATATTGTAAATAAACAGTCTACTATTCCTAATATCGTTATTAATTATATCTTAACACATATTAAATAAGTATTAAATAAAAATCACAGAAATAAAAGTTTAATCAAAAGTCGTTAATGCATTTTAAATACATGTTTATTTATGCGAAGTTGAAATAGCTTAAAAAACTCATTCTTTTAAAGAAATTAATTTTATAAAAGATTATAATTAAAGTTAGAATAATATTCTTGAGTGCATGAAAAAATGCATTAATGGTATCTCCGTTTACAAGGACACGTCATGTACGACTTATCAATTCTTATCGTTCTTCAGTATAAGGCAGGTAAACCATGTAAGATATATATATTACAAAGAAACTCGAGACCGTTATAGTGACATAAATGAGATCTCTTCTCTCTTCTAATAAATAATAGTAAATTCAACGTATCGAGAATGAAAACAAATCGTATCCCACGATTTACATAATAGTACATTATTTATATAACTGTTTACATAAGCAAACTGCGGCCATTGATTAGAGATTAACGAGTGAAAACTACATCAAAGAGAAATTAGCATACATATGTTTATCAGGCTCTCTCTGAACTTGATACTCGATATCTGAGAAGACGGTATATTTTTAGTATCTCTAGCTCACATATGCGAACTGAATCGACCCTCGATTCGCAAATGAGCTCGCCGATGATGAAGAGGGAGAGGAAGGGACCAGGTCGTCGCGTTACGCACCTGTCCGGCATGCAAGAGAGCGCTCCGTGCCACTTGTTGCATGGCCACGCTCGACGCTCGCCATTCAAATGAAAAGCGACTCCGTGAACTCGAGCACGCGCGCCAACGACACTCCGTCCAAAGGGAGGGGAATTTTACGTACCGGTACGGCCGGATGGGTCCTGATTCTCCTGGGTCCTCGTCGATTCCGGGACAGTCGGCTGTTGTTGTCCATGCACGGGGACTGCACCGATCACTGCACTTGACACAATCACCAATCGCTCGCACGATTCGGCCATTTTCATAGTTAACTCTCGCGTCGCGTCGTTAATCCACGGCACCGCGGCGACTTACTTTGCGTGTCGGCATACCGGGACCGTTTCGTATCGGGCCCCTTTTTTCGAAACTTCCACGCACGCCTGGCCCGCGACGTTGGCGGCGCGCCGACATTAGGCCAGATGGCGGCATCGCCGTGATTCGCGTCCGCGCGACATCTCGCGGACAGATTCCACCGACAGTTCTAACGATACGATCGGACTCGGCGGATAACGACGAGTCCGACATACCGACCGCTCTACACGCGCACGAAATTAATCGAGTACCAAAGCACCATCATGACGTCGGTGTCCGAATTTGGCCAATTTCAGAGCACTCTTTGCATCTAGAGGCAAATGCACTTACTCCATTTTTATAATTTTACGTTCGGCTTTTTCAAACGCGACATGATAGACATCGGTTACGTATAATCGTGCCGATCGATCGGAAACGGCTAAAACGATCGCCCGTAACTCGATATGGCACTCTCGACACTTGCCCGCGCGCGAGATTCACTTTCGACGCAAAAAACGCACTCGCACCGCCAAATCGAAGCGATTGCACTTACGCCATTTTTCTAATCGTACCGTTCGGCGATTTCGTCGCGACGCCACGGACGCCGATTATGAAAGATACGTGTAATCGCGCTCGTGCCGGTCGATTGATATGCTAAACCGATCACTCGTAATTCGATTCGGCACTTATTAGCACGCGAGATTCACTTTTGACAGATGAAAAGACACGACAAATGCGGAAAGGGCGAGGGATGCGTCCGAACCGAGAAGACGACCGTTAGAAACTTCGGGTATACTGCGAAGTTGCCGCGAATTAATCCCGTGATCCGTGACGTCAAATCTCTTGATTTTGTAGAAAAGAAACATGGATATAATGGAGGCGAATTTCCATCTAAAAAATTTAATGGAAATTATACGTATATGTAATCTTATGCTTTTTGAAATGCTGAATACAAGATACATTTTCTTTATCTAAATTAATGGAAAAATAATTAATAATCATATTGAAAGGAGTTATAAATAGGAGTCATAAATCTTTATTATAATAGTAATTATAATTGTTAATAATTTTGCTCCAATTATATTAAAGTATTTGTATTATAGTTAATTCTTATAACTTTTTCCACTAAAAATACTATGTAATACATTAATAAGAAAAAACACGTCAAAACTAAAAACATCTCAGAAATAAAAATATGTATAATATTATAAAATATATTATTAAATAGATAAAAATTTAAAAATATCTAATAAGATATTTAAGACTCTTTGAATAAGAAGAATGACTATATATCTTTTTTCATGTTGCTGCTTATTTTTTACACACATACACATTCTTACCTGTCATTGATTTCGTCATAAGAGATTTCTGAAGCATTTCTAAAGTTTAATTTTAAGATGTTTTCTTAGTTTTCAGTAGAAAAAAGTTATAAGAACAAACTATAATACAAATAACTAAGTAATTGAAACAAAAATGTTACCATATATTATTATTAGAAAATTACTTATTTTAATTTTTTTAAGACAAATTTTGATCAATTATTTACATAATTTAAAACAAATAAAAATGCTATTATATGTACGTGTATATTTAACAACTCAAAAAGTATAGAAGATTAGATGCATAATTAATATTAAATTTTAGACAGAAATTCGCTTCTTTTATCCATCGTCATTTCAAATATGTATAAATGTATTTCTGCTGATCAATCGATATGCTAAAACAATTGCTTGCAATGATTATCGAGCACTCTCGACACTTATTTCCATGCGACATTCAATTTAATTTTCCCAAAAAGCCTTTTAATATAATAATCATGATACGATGATCGAAATTCTTCTTATAACGATTATTTCAATATTTCAAAAATTTCGATTGATCTCGATCTATCTTCATCCTACTAACATTTATCATAATTCATACTTTGTTCGTAAATCCTTAAAAGAGGACTATGATTGGCTCGCTGTGCAACTAGTGCAATAGATACTTTGATAGTTGTATCGAACCGAGCGCTGTGATTGGTCCGCTACATCGAGCGCGTCCGTACTTTAAGAATCGCAGCGTATGTACGTATGTTTGTACGTACATACGTAGTCGGTAACGGACGGATCGCGACGATAGTTCAAATTCGAGGAACCGTCCCGTATTTTCTCGCGAGTTTCATACCCTCGTATGGGCTTCGCGCGCAAATTCGGGAGTGTCGAACGAAATATCGTGCGTGTTTCTCATATAGTGCATTAAATATCATCTATCGATCGCGATCGAGCCGTTTTGCGTATCGCGGATCTCGACAATCGCGCGGTCCTTTACATCAGTTACGTAGATCGCGAATAGTTTTCCGAGGATAGTTTTTAGAGGAGAGAGAAAAGAAGTCCTGAGAATATATATATTCAGAGAATATTTAATTCTTTCAAGATTAATCACGCAACAATCAAGGTACGATAGTCTCAGTTGCCTTTTTACGCCTTTTATTTCAATATATCGGATATTTTAATTTTCTCTCTCTCTCTCTCTCTTTCCTGTTCAAGTATCCGTTGTACGCATAATTCGTGTGAAGTGATCTTCAAAAAAGAGCCAAGCACTGTGATTGACTCGCTGCATTCGCGTTTCGAGAATCGCAAGCGGGTACAGAAGCATCCGCCAATGGTCTACTCGCTGACAACGAACCGAGCGCTGTGATTGGCCCGTTGTCTCGCGGCTATCTTTGCTTCGAGAATGAAAAGGGTAGAGTAACGGAGCGGCACGCGACGCGGCAGGACGGATTCGAAAAGTTAGCTCCTGTTTTTCGCGATTTCAGTTCGCCGAGAGTGAATTTCGCGCGCGAATTATCGTCGGGAGTGTGTCGAGCGAAATGTCGCGCGTTCGTCCTGTCATCAAATGTCACGCGATTAATCGCGCGTCGGCATCGTAATCGGTTACGAGCGGTAAACGGTCGCGACATGGCGTAGCCCCGCGATTCGAAATCGCCGTCGATCCGTATTTCTCGTATCCCGAAAGCGAATTTCGCTCATAATTCGCTAATAATTCGTCATCGTCGCGAGTGTTGATCGAAATATATAACGCGTTGCATAACGAGCGGTGTAATAATAAAGCTCGTAGCAAAAATGCATAGTGAAGCGTAATGCGCTTATTTTGGTGTAATAAATAGTGTATATGAATTGGAGCGGCTCCGCATTTCGCTGGAGTTGTAGCTTCAAGTTAATCGAAAGTAAAATAAGTGTTATCGGGAGCCGATGGCAACGACATTGGATACACCGGCCGGATTCGGGGCCGTTCCTGGAAGATGGAGTAAAGTGGGGGGGAGGGGGGGGGGAGGTAAGCCGATAGCAGCAATTCCGAGAACCACCGACATCGATACAGTAGCGTCGCAAACGGTGAGTCCTTATTTTTATATACCACGCTATCGATAAAAATCGGTGTCGATAAAATCGCGCTTTTACTTTACCGTTTACGGTGAACTTGTTTCTTTTGCCTCGCTTCGTTACCGACGAGGTACTGTTTGGTTAGGTTAGGTTAAATATAAACACTGAAATAACAGTAATAACAAACTAGTCGGAGATTGCAAGTTATATATATAAGTAATACAAATTTTATTTCCACATTTTTATGTATTTTATATACATAATATGGTAAAATGACATATAGTTATACAGAAATGAGAATGGAGAAAATGTTCTTTTAGTAAAAAAAAATACGTTTTTACAATTAAAAATTTAAAAGCCTTAAGAAGGCTCATACTCTTTACAGATTTCCCTATAAAAATTCAAGCATTCTTCACAGAGCCTTTCACAATTTTAACATCATCTACAGGACGATCATTCTTATCTGTCTCAACTAGTCCAATTCTTTTAACTATAGTCATGCCAGTATGAACTCTACCTATTAAATAAATATGAAAATAGTTTAGAATATGTGTGATAAATTGCAGCTAATTTGTTGCAACTTACCAAATACAGTATGTTTGCCATCGAGCCATTGTGTAGGTGCAAGCGTTATGAAAAATTGTGATCCATTTGTATCTGGTCCAGAATTTGCCATTGATAATATTCCAGCACCTATATATATTTCAATATCGTATACATTGAAATTTAACAATAATATATATATATATTTTTTTTTATTACGTTATCCATTGCAACAACTATTATTAATTATTTGTCATTACAAAATAAGTTAAATTACCTGTGTGTTTCAAATCATCGTGTATCTCATCGTCAAAACATTCGCCATATATGGACATCCCGCCTTTCCCTGTCCCGGTAGGATCTCCACCTAAATAAAAAACACATGAAATAAAATATTATTAAATATCTCGCGCTGTCATTGTACATTTCTGATGCATTACCTTGAATCATAAAGTCACGGATGATCCTGTGAAACTTGGTGCCATTATAATATCCGCGTCGCGTGAGCTCGGCAAAGTTTCTGCACGTGATGGGAGCGTGTTTCCAATATAACTCGAAGGTTATTTCACCCATTCTAAGAATTAAAATCTATTAAGTATAACTAGTAAGTTTTAAGTCAGAAAATTGGAATACACTTACGTAGTCTCGAAGGCAACGAAGGGTGGTTGCCAATGTTTATCCGGCACACCGGATATATTTGAGAGGCACATTGTGGTCTGTATTTTACGTCCTTTTTTAAATCCAATTAAACAGCAAATTGCAGCGAAATATTATCGCATTTGTCAGCAGAATTTTTCGTAAAAAAACAATGATTATATTCAGACGGTAACACGAGTTTACGGAAAGCTACACACACACGTGAACTATAGATTTCCAGCAATTTTCAGTACTGACACTGACACGAAGCATAACCTACACACAGGGACACAAGTATGAGAAATACACACATGGAGCACATGAACGCCATCTGCTTCATGCGCAGGGTATACGCGTTACAAAGCAATAATAAAATAAATTTAACGAAAATGTAAAAACACGTTGAACGTTATATTCGCAAAAAAACGTATAAATGAGGAACTTCGCATGTTGGACTGATTCGTCGCAGTGTTGTATATCGAATATTCTGGCAGCACGACGAGTTTCCGCACGTGCCGGAACAAGTTAACCTGCATGAGAATATGTTCTCGCCGAGAGATTCGAGTAAATCGGAGTATATTAGTTTGAATATTCACGATAGCTCTTCGTTTGCACGGGGCACTTCGCGCAGTTTATGGAGGGTACGTATATCTGAACGAAAAATATAGATATACCGCGATACTGTTTTTGTCAGTTTTAATTTATCTATGCGTTTGAATACCATATCTCTCTATCATACTTATTCCTCACTTGGCTGCTCATTTCTCTTTTAGCAATGGAACCAATTATCCAGGTTTCAGAGAAATATACTATACTTTGCAGTTATCACAGTTATACTTGTAATATTTTATCTCTTACCTAGCGAAACCAAAGCTGGTACCTCTGACGAGGTAGACTATAATAATATAGAAGTTGTACAAGAAACTGCCAAATACGAAAAGGTACACAATGATGAGAGAAGATTTTATATTCGTGTTGAAAAAAATATCGAATCTCTTTTTATTCTGCAGGCAGTCGATGAAGTTGTTGTAGATAATGATGAACAGGGTGCTGGACCTGGTGAAGTGATTGAGGAGCCTGAGTTTCAACCAGAGATTAATCAAGTTGATGATGATCAAATTGGTGAACCACCACAGCCAAAGCCAAACGTTCTTAAATTTAATGGTAGATTATAATTCACGAAAAAAAATCATATATATAATACACAGATATAGTATATATAATCATAATTATATTAAATTACAATAATTTTTGCTTAAGTTATAAAACCCAGGGTTTTTAGGTCCACAAAATAGTAGGCAACAAGCGGTTGTAGCTGCGTTTAAGCATTCCTGGGATGGGTATAAGAAATATGCTTGGGGTCACGATAATGTTAAGCCGATATCAAGGAGGTATCATGAATGGTTTGGTTTAGGTCTTACTATAGTAGACTCGTTGGATACTATATATATAATGGGATTAAATGATGGTGTGTATGAAGTGCTAAATTAAATTTTAAAATATCTCGTGTGGTAGCGAAAAAAAAAACACATTTTTCTTCTATTGTGTTTCAGAATTTTCAAGGGCAAGGAAATGGGTGGAAGAGAGTTTAGTGTTTACATTGAATAGGGATGTTAATTTATTTGAAGTTACAATTAGAGTATTAGGCGGTTTATTGGCGGCATATCATCTTTCCGGTGATATACTCTTTTTAAATAAAGCCGTAAGTAACGGATTTAAAATAATTTTAGTTAGTTTATTCTGCCAGAATATTGACGTTTAAATATTAATCTCTCATTTTAATGACGATATCCAAGATGGATTTAGGTGATCGCATGATGCCAGCATTTTCTACCAGGTCGGGTGTTCCATATTCCGATGTGAATCTCGGCACTAGAAGTGCGCATAGTCCCAAATGGGGGCCTGATAGTAGCACGAGCGACACATTTTTCTTCTATTGTGTTTCAGAATTTTCAAGGGCAAGGAAATGGGTGGAAGAGAGTTTAGTGTTTACATTGAATAGGGATGTTAATTTATTTGAAGTTACAATTAGAGTATTAGGCGGTTTATTGGCGGCATATCATCTTTCCGGTGATATACTCTTTTTAAATAAAGCCGTAAGTAACGGATTTAAAATAATTTTAGTTAGTTTATTCTGCCAGAATATTGACGTTTAAATATTAATCTCTCATTTTAATGACGATATCCAAGATGGATTTAGGTGATCGCATGATGCCAGCATTTTCTACCAGGTCGGGTGTTCCATATTCCGATGTGAATCTCGGCACTAGAAGTGCGCATAGTCCCAAATGGGGGCCTGATAGTAGCACGAGCGAAGTTACTTCGATTCAATTAGAATTTCGCGATCTTAGTCGTAGCACAGGACAACCTAAGTTTGAGGTAATTTTAGTGATTGCATCTTTTAAGCAATTTATGCAGTAGATATTTAATTCATTATCTTTTCAGGCTGCAGTTAGAAAAGTTTCCGAACATGTACATAAATTAGAAAAATACAATGGCTTAGTTCCCATCTTTATTAACGCTAATACTGGTCAGTTTCGAGAATATGCAACAATTACGTTAGGAGCTCGCGGCGATAGTTATTATGAATACTTATTAAAACAATGGTTACAAACTGGAAAAACTATAGACTAGTTAGTATATCTCACTAGAAGTTATTATTATACAGAATATAAACTTTCAACCAGTTTTATATTTTTTAATATTTATTTATATTTTTTTTAGTTTACGGGACGATTACTTGTTAGGTATTACTGGAACACAAAAGCATCTCGTTAAATACACAGCGGTCAATAAATATTTATTCATCGCTGAATTGGTCGGCGCCAACAAAGAGATAAGACCAAAAATGGTAAATAAATAGAATGGGAAAAATAGTCAACACACACACACACACAGAAAAATAGAACATTGTGTAAATTTGTATTGTAGGATCACCTCACATGCTATTTAGGAGGTACTTTAGCATTAGGTGCACATCATGGACTGTTGCAGACGCATAATACTCTTGCAGAAGAAATAGTTAAGACTTGTTATCAAACGTACGCAATCCAACCAACGTTTCTCGCGCCTGAGATTACTTATTTTAATATACAAGTAAGTTTACAAAAAATTTGTATCAATTCGATTAAAAAATATAGAATAGAACATCGATTCTCTTCATATCATATACCATAAAAAAAAGATTCATAAGCCACATTTGATTCTGTAGAAAGTGGAGGGTGATAATCAAATGGATATGTACGTAAAAACGAACGATGCTCATAATTTACTGAGACCCGAGTTCATTGAAAGTCTATTTTATATGTGGTACTTCACGGGAAATAAAACTTACCAAGATTGGGGTTGGCAGATATTTCAGGTGGGTGTGCTACATAACTCTCTCCTGAAAATTTTCATTTTATATGTCTCTAATGTAAAACACATCTCAATAGGCTTTTGAGAATTATACCAAAGTCGAAAATGGCTACACAAGTATTGGTAATGTCCGGAATGTTCAACAAACTCGTCAACAAGATATGACGGAAAGTTTTTGGTTCGCCGAAACTTTAAAATACTTGTACTTGTTATTTGATGACACTAGACAATTGATAGATTTGGATCGGTGGGTATTCAATTCAGAGGGTCATCCGTTACCCATATACGAATCATAACGCGTAAAACTATATGAAATCTGAATTTTTATCCTAAAATCCCTTAATTCCTAATATCCGTTAAATAATGGTTTAAATGCCCAATTATTGATCGTTTTTGTTGAAACATCAACCATTGTTTCTGCAATAAAAGATTTTTAAACTTGTCGAGCTCTCGCGACGTAATAAACTTTCTCAATTTGTGAAATTCTCTTCTAAAGAGTAGTCCATTTATAATACAAAACAAGATTATATATACAAATATATATAAGTAGCCACAAATTTACTTAAAGCTTAAATATTATGGCAAAAATACAAAAGATTACAGATGATTTGAAACCATGCAGTAAATAATTATTTTTAAATCAGTTTCTTTAAATACTTAACTTTGAATATACAACAGAGATGTATTGCAAAGCTTTTTACAGTTATATCAAAAGAAATTTAAAATATAAGATGTGAAAATCTGTTTTCTCCTCAATTCATTATATCACTGAAATGTGATTTCAAATAAATTATTAAATATGCAACATTACTCGCGCCTATATAGCACATGATAAATATGGCAAATCATTGATAGATGCTACTAGTGTTTTAGATTTCCAAATTTCAAGTTTCGAAAATATATAGATTATTGATTTCTACCTATTGTGTAGATAATAAAATTAGACAGAACTTCTTTTAGCACATATTGTACTTACCCATGTATTCTTTTCACAAAACTTCTAACTTTAGTTGTGCACATCATTTTTAATAATACGCAATACATATAAAAAAAATTATTATTTAGTGCAGTCTTCACATTAAATTCGTATCTTATATTACAAAAATAATCTAGTCCTCACCTATGAATAAATTACATTGTATACTTGCAATCTTCAATTATTATATAAATATTTATATAATTATAATAATTATATAATTATAATTATATAATATAAATATAATTATATTTTTACATATATTTATATGAATATTTACATAAAATAGGAAATATCTGTTTGCGACTACTATAGGCCATTAATACGGTGTGGCGATGATTAAATCACAATCTTGATGGAAATTTACATTATTGAAAAATATAGGAAGAAGATATTTAAATTATTTGTGTCCATATTTTTAATGTTATCTACAAATAGCAACATTATCGAAGAATGTTAGGATATATATATGCTATCAAATAGTAGAAGCAGGTAGAATAAATGAATATGCTATTGTTACAATTGTATAAAACAAAATTCGATTTAATCATCAGCTGCATTATAGAAATACTACTACTTCTAGTTACTGGCGCATTAACGAAAAAAAAATCGTTCTCGAATTACCCGTCGTTTGTAATAAATGCATCCTTATACCAACATACCGGAATGCTGTTTGATATTATTTTAATTAGTGCCTGTAATAATTACAAACTGTCACAATTAATACTGTCAAATTCATGTGTCATTAACGTTGACTTCAGGTTGTAAGGAAGACATTTAAGAGTATAGCAAATAATTTGTTCTATAACAGATGCGAAAGAGAACTTATGAACTAATAACTGACTTTTGTAATGTCTCTCGACACGTTCTTTACGACTTACCATTACGGTTTACCACAAATACATGGTACAATGGCAGTGCATATTTGCAACTACGATAAACACTTCCGTTGAAGCGTGCGCTATAAAAATATAAGTTAATTATTCACGTATATGTGTTTGTTAGATTGCTTTTAATCGAATAACGGGTGCTCGAAATATCATACAACAGCATTCAAAATTTGGGTGTAACTGCGAGCATCACGCGCACGCACATTCATTCACATATTTATTTATAAAATTTTCTACATGTCACGCCGCGAGGATTTTCTCCTATACTTCTCTGATATATCACAAAGTACCCTCACAGCGCGCGATACTTATTGCATAATCAGATTTTAAATTTTGCGCCGGAGAGAAGAGCGCCTCGAGATCCTAAAAAATCGAATCGGGGAGTCGCGGGACGCTCCTTTCCTCGACATTTATTTAACTAAGGACCTCGAACGATCTCAGACTATCGTGCAATCGCAGCACTGTTGTGTGTAGTAAAGGCAATTGATCAAACAAGAAACGTCCGGCTCGTCGGGGGACTTCTTCGTGTTCACGTCGAGACCATTCTTCTCGATCTCTGGTTTCGACTCGGGCACGGGTAAAGTCGTCTGCACGATCGGTACCGCTTCTTCTATCGCCTCGGTGTCGGTGTTGTCCCCGCTGGGTTTCGATGGTTGCGATGTTATAGGAGCGGCATTGATCAGTCTCGCGTTGTCCAACACATCGAAACTCGTTGTGGATATCGATGCCTGCGCCGGAGGTGATGGTTCCCCGGAGGACATTATCACGCTGAAACAAGCGAAATATTTTTATTTAATTCACTTTTAATAAGAACCGGACAAAAATATGTGTTAAAATTGAAAAGAAGCGCGGAGAAATTAAATAGATTATAATTCATTTTCTCAAGTTTTTGAGAAAAGCGAGTTAAATTACTAACACTCAAAAAAATGTCTTGCTGATATAGGTAGATTTTTAGGTGTCACAACAAAAATTTATCGCTATTTTTTGTATCTGTTAGAATATTGTCTGTTACATATAGAATTTATAGCAGCAACATTCTAATAATATCTTCTAGAAAATTTAGGTCCCATTGCCAAATGGTAATCACTGCATTGGATAAATATGAGTTTCGATACTACAGAACGATCTTTGTGAGAAATATAACTGCCAATTATAACTGCAGCATCGAAAAATTGAGAGAAATTGTTTAAAAGAGCTAGATAGATTGAGCGCGTTATACAAATATGTTAGACGTGAGGATTATATATTCATTTGTTTCTTGCCGCTAATTTTTTCTGTATACCACAGCCAAACTTTATAACAAGTATGATTGGCCCTATCATGGATAGGCGCCACAGAAAAACATTCTTTCTAAATTTCACAAACAGTTCAGATATAAATTCTGTCTCTGTCACTTAGATTGATTAAATGCGAAACATATGCGATATCACAGTATTTGCTAATCATTTATGTACCTCAGTTAATTTTGCGCACCCAGAAAATTTTGGCTGTAGTTGCAATACCACTTTTTTGAGTGAACAATCTCTCCGTGTATATATACGATTCAAGAAAACGGCGATGTATATATGTAAATTAAGAGATAAAAGATAAGAGTTTTAGCATACGCGACTGCATCTAGAATTATGTATCCAAAACTTAAACGTACATGAAAGAGACTCGACGTATTACATTACGTAGCGATGTCAATAAGAGAAATAATAATGGTATCTGCGTAAATTAGGTCTCGCCATACCTTGTTAAAGCACTGGGCAATTCGACCTTGACAGGTAGTCTTAACTTATGCATTTTACTTTATACGTACACGCACTACTATGTCATTTAAAGTACAGTCTTCTCTCTTCGCTTCTCTCTCTTTCTTTCGACCTTTCTCTATCTCTTTCGCAGCCAGATGCGTGCAAACGCATACATACACACGTGCATAAAGAAAGCACGCGCTTATACGGGACTACGTGCGAGATGTAACGGGAAACATAACCAACGAAATGCGCATCCGAATACTTTCTTTAGAGAGGAAAGGAGAGAGTATAAGAGAGAAAATAGAGCAAACACGCACGGTGCGTGATTTTTTGAGAGAAAAGAGATATTAAAAGAGAGAAGAGAGAGAGAGAGAGAGAGAGAAACGAGGGAGAGCCACAACACTAATGAAACGACACACGAACGAAACTAACCAACTATATAACGGAGGAGCGGGGGAGAGGGTTGGCAGTTCTAGCGAATGATTTTACATGGACACTGGACGGCAAACGACTCCTCTTCGGGCTCGCGTACGTCTCTCGGCGACGACGGACACTCGGGACTAGATTCACGACGCAAAGTCATCGGTCACACGCGATGTTAACGTACATACACACGGACTACGCACACACGCGAGTGGCGAACGCAACGCACGCTCCGTTTCGGTTACGCGACGATCATTTGGACGACGCCACCGGCGACGATCCGTGGTATCCGTACACACTCGTACGTTTGCACCGTCGTCGCACGCACTGACGGCTGACGGCTATAAGCATACGGCGCACGAGCTCCGCGCAAGCTCTGTCCTTTGCCCGCGATTTGCGCATCCCGACTAGAAGCGACGTCACGTCGAGAGAAAACAAAGACGGCGATGTGAGCGCCGCCCGTGGCGGCCGCGAAAAGCCCGAGATTATCGACCGACACTTGTCCGCGAAAATTTGAATTCATCGTCGCGTCGATATCAAGAGTAAAACCTTAATCAGGCTCGATCGTTTGGATTGGCATTAATTATAGTCTACTAAATTATTTATCTTTCTTCTTCTTCTATATGGCTGCTTAGGTTTTTATAAAGAATTTGCCTATACGCCAGCTGGTGTTTAAATAAAAAAGGATCCCCCTGAGGATGAATTGCAAAAATTAAATCTAAAATGGAACTTGCGCGAGAATGCGCTCAAACACGCTCGCGAAATCATTTATCCTTCTAGAAAGAAACAGGAAATTTATACAATGATAGGGGATTTGATTAATATTGTGCTAATCATAAGTTAATATGTCTTTCTCTCTATATATTAATTTGTTAATAATTGATTAATTGTCTACCGCTACCGATATATATCCCATATATGCCTTATTTAACTTTTTCGGAAATAAATTATTTTGAGTTAATAAAACATATGTGTAAGTTAAGTTTTTAAGGAAATTTTTAAAAATATAAAAATAATATTTAAAAAAAATGTCTTGCTGATATAGGTAGATTTCTAGGTGTCACAACAAAAATTTATCGCTATTTTTTGTATCTGTTAGAATATTGTCTGTTACATATAGAATTTATAGCAGCAATATTCTAATAATATCTTCTAGAAAATTTAGGTCCCATTGCCAAATGTTAATCACTGCATTGGATAAATATGAGTTTTGATACTACAGCTAGAACGATCTTTGTGAGAAATATAACTGCCAATTATAACTGCAGCATCGAAAAATTGAGAGAAATTGTTTAAAAGAGCTAGATAGATTGGGCGCGTTATACAAATATGTTAGATGTGGGGATTATATATTCATTTGTTTCTTGTCGCTAATTTTTTCTGTGTACCACAGTCAAACTTTATAACAAGTATGATTGGCCTTACATGGATAGGCGCCACAGAAAAACATTCTTTCTAATTTTCACAAACAGTTCAGATATAAATTCTGTCTCTGTCACTTAGATTGATTAAATGCGAAACATATGCGATATCACAGTATTTGCTAATCATTTATGTACCTCAGTTAATTTTGCGCACCCAGAAAATTTTTGCTGTAGTTGCAATACCACTTTTTTGAGTGAAAGCTTTCAATTTCCGATTAGACGATTATTAGGAATTATTTAATAGGAACGTTAGATTTTTACAAAATACATTTCTATCGAATATGTAAATTCGCTGGACGGAATATCAGACGAATAGAGAATGTATGTCTCGAGATTACATCTTCGGGAATCTTCAGGAAGAGAACCTACCATCTAGTTTTCTTGAAAGGGTGCGTTCGAGCCCTCTCCTCCGCGGTTAGGGTAGAATAAAACGACACTTGCTGCATGTTTCGCAAGTCCAACCTTCGTCACGTGAGAAATGTTTGTAATTTTATCGGCGAACTTATTCTCGTCTTTGAAACACTATACTTCTATTGCACTCCCACGCGCCCAGTATGATATAACTTTCATCTAGTGTAGTCCATTTAATCTAATCACTTTTCGCATTCCCGTCTTTTAAATATGTAAAGCAACTGCAAAAGGTATTCATTTCTCTCTGTAAAAATTATCAAATGTGTGCTTACGAATTGTACTCTCCTTGATGTGCACGCGTCTGTGTAAACATTGTATGGAAAATCTTCCATCATAAAAGGCTTATTGCGTTTACGATCGCGTACGTAACTTGCGTCGCATCTGGTGCATCACTCGCACCGATTACATCTCAATTGATCGAGTCTCGAGCATGTGAAGAACATTAGCGGAATACCACCGTCATTTTGTTGGCTAATAGAGACTAACGAACGTTAACTAGACCTACATTGCATACCGTATTCTCTATTGAAATTTAATTAATAACGGCGCGTGATTGATTCCTTTCAAAGAGCATTTCTTCGTCCATGCAATTATGATTTTTCTTTGATTTTATAAAAGATGTAAGATATACATATATTAAGTTTTTAATTCGTTCAAATTGGACTTGCTAATCAAATAAATGATAAAATATAGTTATTAGCTGTTTTTTAAAATGAGTTAAATGAGAAAATTTATGATTTCTTTGAAAGAATATATTATCGATGTATAATAGA